TAAAGTTTATCAACAGAATCCAGAAGCACCCTTCCGAAAAATCAATTTTGCCATGAAACTATAAGAGTTAGGAAAAAAGTGAATGTACACTTTTTGTCAATAACAAACTGTTCTTTCTAAAAACAGCATCATTTTCTATTTTCAGTAGGGCCGTATTAATCCTTTTTATAATTTAATGAGTCTGAGTCTCCATAACTCCGCCACTGGTTGCTTGCGGGACTTCTACTTCTATGGAAAAATGGTATCTTATAAGAAGATGTGTCATGACAAATTTGGCTTAAATAGCCTTCTTCATTTAGAAGTTATTTGAAAAATTCGAATTTTAAAAAAAATCTTTAACGCCCTATACAATTTATTATAATACAAAATTTATACTAGATTTCTTTCTTATTTTTTTATGAAGAATATCTCCTTAAAGTTTGTCGACTTAATCCTGAAACACCCTGTATATCTGCCGATTCCCAAATTTTACAAAACTAAATTTTAATTTTGAGACTAAAATGCTGGTATTACCAGCTATTATGTGATTTTTTGAAATTCTGTTTCTAATTCAACTTCTCGTACCGTTTTTCGGCAAATTCATTCAGAAGATGAAAGGAAAACAACTCCTGTTTTATTTATACGCAACGTAAATGGGTACATCCTACAAAATACTGTTAACGAGCTGTTGGGCGTGAAGTGAGTTATAACACTTTAAAAACATCTTCAAAATAACACGTCGAGTTATTGCGATCTATTTTGTTAAACGGGTTTGGTGTAGAAACTTGTTAAAGGAACTTGTAAAGGTGTGAAAGTTAAATAATGAAATTATTTGGGCTTTGAGTCGAAGTTCCGAGGGAGCAAAGGACCAAGTTGGTCCTTTATCCAATAAAAACTTTCCGTCGGGCCAGAGGGATTGGGATGTTCAAAAAAGTTTCCTAACTATGTGCGGCTTGGATGGGGCAGGAATTCAATGCGAATTTTATGCTCTCTATTGTTCTACCACACAGGGTGTACCACAGTTTATCCGTATTTTCGTATATAATCCATATGCGCCATTAAATAATATCATCTAGTGTGTTTATTAATGACAAATTTAACAAATGCCTATTTATTGAGTATTACTGTGGTTCTTATAGTGCCCTTATTAATGTGATTTATTGTTCACTTGAGTCTTACAACCGTTAAAACTTAAAACTGGCCTATATATAGTAATGCAAAAAAGTGTTCTGTGTCCTTTTTTGTTTCTTTGTTTATTATTTTTTTTTGGCAAATTGTGAATCACCCTGTACATCTTTCAAGCCTGACATAAGTTTATTAGTTTTATTCATGTACCTGTATAAAAAAGCAAAAATTATAACATTTTTAGCTTAAACAGAATAATTAACGTTTGGACAATCTTGTGAAGGTTAATCTAAAAAATCATGTATAAGGTTTTGGGTCTTTTAGATCAAAATTATAACTGCATTTAATTTCATGGTAAACAATCAACCATATCACACATTTTTACAAGTCAGTGCAAACCATATTCAGATCTGTTGCGATTTAGATTAAGTGACTTACTGGAAATAGAGGATTGTTAAATAAAAAACATTTTTTTTCTATCATTTTCATGATGCAGTGGCTATTTTTTAAAGTATATATAAATTTTTAAACGAGAAGTAGGTGTTCATTTTCTATTCAAAAATGCTATTGTTTTAATATTTATTGCAAAAATTAAATTAATTAAAAATAAATTAATCTGATGAGAAGTCAATATTTTCCAGTTTCCTTTTTAATATTGATTCTTTTTCGATATAGAAATGCCTGTTTTTTGAAAATCTATCTGAATAATATTAAATTCTTGCAATTTACGACTATACTTATAAATTGAGTTTAAACTAATTTAATGACAGTCAATTAACAAACATATTAAACATATTATATGTAAACGGTATATAATGTAAAATTGTGGGAAAAGCCGAGAAATATTCTTCTTTTTCATTTTCATAATGATTACGTATTGTTTAGAAGCAACAAACGTGTTTCTTTAATTTTTTCCAAAACTTTGATCATTTGGAACAGAAAAACTATGAGTTATGTGGGTACATTAAGCTGTAAAATTCTTTTTCAACGTTAGTTTTTTCATCAATATTTACAAATTAAATTAAAAAATGATTTGTTGCATATTTTTTGGCAAGGATGAAACATTTTTCTTCGAAACCCATAATAGGTCCTTGTAGAGAAGTTTTCGGACAGTCCGAAAAAAAAAATTGGAAATTTTTTTTCACATGATAATTCTTTTAATGACCGAAGCTCAAAAAAATTTGTATCTAACAATCTTGAAATTAGGGACTAAAGCTAAAATATTCAAAATTTTATATCGACACCACCATTTTTCACTGAGGAATTTATGAAATTTTTTTATTTCCCTAATTTTTTCCAGTTTATACAGGGTGTCAGAGAATATGTGGGCAATCTCTCGGGAACGTTAAAATAACATGACAAGTTCCTATAAAAATTCTCTTTAAAAGGTCTCCTTACGGAGATACAGGCCCCTATAGGACGCCCCTGTTTTTTTTTAATAACTTAAAACATTTTGTGTAATTTAATTATTTTTTTAGATAATACCTTAAAAATTGACCCATGAAAACAATTTGGCTTATTTGGTTTGCCAGGGACGGACTTTACACCCTTTACGATAAAGGCACAAAAATAATATTTTTAGATAGCTTGAACCTTAAACTAAAAAAAGGTACTCTTGGTTGATATCGATAAAATGAACTATTTTCGGGAAAAAACTATTTTTGTTTAATATGATTTTATTACAACCGTAAAGAGAAATAAACCGATGAAATTTGCATTCTTTCTGTGCTTATCTAAAAGTTTTATCTTTTCATCATCGTATTAAAAAGTATTACAGTTATTAAAAAAAATCGACTTTCAGGGGCGCCCTTTGGAGACAGTAGGGAGGCCCTCTAGGGAACATTTTTTATAGGAACTTGTCATGTTATTTTAATCCGAAAGATTGCCCACATATTCTGGGACACCTTGTACAATAAAAAATGTTTTTATTTATTCGATTTTCCATTTTTCTAATTTTATCCGGGTTTACTCCTAATTGTTAAATCTCCCTGCATAAAATTATGGAAATAATTTATTTATAGACGAATTTATGGACGTTTAAAATTTGGCCAGTACTACACAAACCTTCCCAGGTCTAAACTCAATAATAAATATTTCATATTTCACCAATTTCACGCAACATAGCAACGCTTTTAGAAACACTTGCGATCTAGTTCCACCCTTCCTCTCTTTCCAGTAAAGCACGGGCCCAACGACAACAAAACAGTTAATGACCACATTATCCTACGCGAGTTCTTCGTCATTAGTAATATCGAAAGCGGCACAGATCCAGGCTGAAGCTCGAGCTGAATACGGCAAGCGGAAAATAATTGGAAATGGGGAAGATGCACGTTACCTTTCCTTCCTCGCTGGCGGTGTCGTCCCCGTTGCTCAGCCGCTGAGATGATGGGGGAGGCAGCGGTAATTCCCTCAGGGTGGCGTAATCGCCATCATCCTCGTCCATTCCTGGGATCGTGCTCCTCCTAACGCTGCTCTTGGTGCTGAAAGTAACGATGTATAATGCCTTTCTGAGTGGGATTAATAGCAGGCAGATTTTCAGACACGTGGTGGTTATCAACCCAAGGAATTTCGGTATAATTAGTAAATAATTAGAAAAATACTGATGCTGGCAAAAAAATTGTAAACGCAAACAGTCGGGTTTTCACAAAAATGCTGTAAAATACTCAGTTTAACCTTTAATTTGCCATTACATGTCATTAATATGAGTGTGTGGGTAAAATAACATTTTTAACTGCGTTTCGAAAATTTTTTGACGAAGCTCCCACCTGCCATCAAACACCAGAACCGCAGCACACGACACCACCGGGAGCCGATGCTGTCGGCAGAGCAGCGGCTGCCGATACGCTGCATTAATAAAAAATTCACCTCAGTTTCGAGTTTCGGAAAATGAAAAATTGCTATTACATCTAGGGCGTAATAAAAAAATGTCAAAGCTAATACATTGAAAATTCCGTCAGTGCTTCTATTTCCCGTTTCTAAACAAAAAAATCTCTACGTCAAAATGACACAAACGAAGCAAAGAAATCAAAAGTTTTTACTATGGAAAACATTACTATATTTTTAAAATAGGCTCCAGACGATAAGTTTTTATTAATGAAAGAGGTTCTAATATATAGTTTAAATGGGATATGTCGGTGTGCAGAATTGTGCAGTTTAACTGTTAATGATATAGAAGACACGGGGAGACTTTGGTTATAACTTTACATGATACCAAAACCACAAGGAAACGTGTATTTACCGTAGGATCAGACTGCAACGGATATGAAATTTGTCATAAGTATTTACAGTCGAGTCCCAAACAAGTGATAAAATAGATTTTTTTTTACTATAATCACGGTAAGTGCACAATACAACCAGTTGGCATCAACAGTTTTGCAAAAATTCCCCAAAGAGTTGCTGAATATTTAAAATTTCCAGATGCATCCAGNTTGGTTATAACTTTACATGATACCAAAACCACAAGGAAACGTGTATTTACCGTAGGATCAGACTGCAACGGATATGAAATTTGTCATAAGTATTTACAGTCGAGACCCAAACAAGTGATAAAATAGATTTTTTTTTACTATAATCACGGTAAGTGCACAATACAACCAGTTGGCATCAACAGTTTTGCAAAAATTCCCCAAAGAGTTGCTGAATATTTAAAATTTCCAGATGCATCCAGTTACACTGGCCATTGCTTGAGGAGGACGTCTGCCACCTTCCTTTCTGACAGTGGAGCTGATATTCAAACACTTAATAAGTTGCAAATTTCAAAAAGTATACTTCACCAGCAAGATCTAGGGGCACCTCGAGATAATCAGGAATGCAACTAGAGAATCATAATAGTTTTCAGTAAGAACAAGTCGAATTGAATAAATTTCGTGTTGTTAACTTTTCAAATCTGAATAATAATTTTAATTTTAATATACAATGTTTCCAATATTTAAATAAACAGTATTATTTCCTCCCACTGTAGTAAATAGCCTCTTATCACATTATTTTTAAAGAGGTAAGTGGATTTTACCGTAGAAGTGGAAGTTGCTATGGACAACGGGAAATAAGTGAGGTAACTTACCTCCCTAGGGAAAAAAGCGATTTCGAGTTATAAATGCATATTTTAAGAATAAATAAACAGAAATATTTGATGAACTTTACATTTTGTTAATCATTATTAATGATTATTATTTATGGTAATTGTACAGTTATTACATTTAGTAACATTTATAAAATCTGCATAATTATTCCCCTCGCGTTTACTAATTGTCACATTTTTCTCAAAATGATTTGACCGCTCCATTTCAGTCACCGGCTCAATATTATCTGACTGATCCATTAAAACAGCCTACAGCGACGTACTACTATAACCTGGAGTTGAAGTGTCATTGTAAAGAATCCTGTGGGCTATTTCATTTTTGTTACTTAAACTGTCAGCAAAATAACTTTCTGCAATTGTGATTTTCACCCATCATGTCTTTTATTATTAATACATCAACTCCTGTATTAGCCAGTAACGTTGCCGATGTTCTTCGGAATGAATGGCCTGTATATGTTTCAGGATGTTCTAGTTTCAAAAACTGCTAGTAACTTTGTTTAATTATAAACACCTTAGAAACGACAAAATCCAAACAACCAAGGCGACTTGGCAAGATTTCGAATAATGTTAAAATGAATTGATTAAGAAATGTCAAAAAAACCTTATTTCATGAACCGTAAAGAACTGTGGGTGCAGATAAAATATTATACACCACGCAATAGTTAAGTATAATTTACCAGTCTCGGACTCTATTGCCAGCCCTCGCTCCGCTCGGGCGCAAAATCATCCTCGACTAGAAAATAATACTTACCTGCTTTATGGTGTAAATAACTATTTTTATTAACAGTGACATTACTATACATATAGCAAAGTGACATTTTATGTGGTAAAATGTCACTTTAGTAAGCGATTTTGAATTAAGTAAAATAGCATATTATCAGTCAAATCCGAAAAACTAATTTTAAACTTGCATCTTCAATATTAAAACGTACATTTTGCTATATATTTAGTTACGTTTTTATTCAGTTAAGTTAATATACGTATTTCAAATTTCAAAGTAAAGAGAATTAGATAACCATATTAGCATCAGCAAACCTTGTCCACAGATGTCGCCTCGGGAAGTTAAGCACCAGTAAAGTTAATTTCATCTTTTTGAGCGAGACCGAAGTAACGCTGGCAAAAAGATGTCTGCTCATAAATAGATTAATTTAAAGGTGGTTGAATTTATAGTCAAATCACGGCACCCCTTTGCCGTTATTTATTCACAACGAAATGCTTTTAGAGCAATCATTCCTTACGCTTGACAAAAATAATATACAAAGTCCATGGACAGCTATTCATAAGGGCATAATTTCATATATCAGCAGGCCATGACATTTAAATTCTTATAAAGTATACATCGTATAAAGTCCCAAATTCTTTGTGAAGATAAAATCGATGTCTCTAGAAACGTTAAAAAGCCAAAACCAACCAAGTGATGTACTTTACATACAATTTACTCTGATTAAAAATCAAAAATAAATAAAATTTTATCTTTTGTTCGTGCAGGAGTTCTCTCATCCGACACTCGAAGCTTCCGCGACATTTTGCTTCTATTAAGCACAAATTTTTTCCACGTAAATCATATTTAAACTCCGGCAGGAAGATATGTCAAAAATTCAATTTCCCAATATATTCCAGGTGCTTAATATTCTGTAAAGAACGCTCCTTCTTATCTTTTCCATTCGTATATGAAATAAGCGAGACAATATAATTTAATATTTTCGATTTTTTGCCCCCGGGTTTTTATTTGCAATTTTGAATAAATTGGAAAGCTAAATAACATGAAAGAGGAATCTTGGAAGTTAAATTAGAAATATAGGACAATTTCGTCGGAGTTTTATTGTCGCTGACAGTATAAAATATTAGAATGTTCTGTAATTTCCATTATATTTAAAAATATCAGGAACTGAAACTTCAATTTATAATAATGAAAATTGTGTAGTCGTTCCTGATTTATTAAAGCGATTGGAATATTCCTCTATAGATTTATTCTTCTTGGTATTAATCAACGTTAATAGCGTTGATAAGAGTTACAGCGCTTGCAGTCGTTTCAGTGGACACTGTTTATAACAATAGGCTCATTTAAAATATTTTTTATATTCATATTCGCGTCTATCACGAAACAATTAACCAATTCCATAACATCAATCATCCAGAAACTGGTCAGTATGAAATTAACGGAGGTAATGACGAATGTCCTTCGGCAAGCTCGAATACCTATTGTGGAAGAAGAAATTCTATAAATGTTGGAAGAGGCAACTGGCAATAGATGTCACATTAAAACAGAATCAGACTATAGTTTCCAGAAGACAATGAATTGAAGCAGGCTACAAATAGTGAAATTGTAACTCTAGATCCATTGACACATGGATGGAAAATCGAAAATGGTTGTTTGGATTTTAATTATTTCGAAGGAGAAAGTGCGTTAGATATGCTTTAAAATATTTTTGTTCGTGTAGTGGAGAATGTTCTACGAAAAATTGTAACTGTTTGTCATCGAACCTGGAATGCTGTGCAGTCTGTGCGTGCTCAAATGAATGTCAGAATGTTCCTCCCGAAATTGATGATGAAACGCTTATTTCAGCTCAAGAACTTGTCGAAAGTAACGAAAAACTTACTATTTAAAAATTAAATAAAAAAGAAATTAATATACTTTTATTGCTCTTAATATTTTTGTAAAATAAAAATAAAATAATTATCCTATACAATAAATTATCCATTAACTTTTTTATTTTTCGAGATCGCTAGGTCAATTATTATATTATTTGGTTAATTTTACGATTTAAAAAGCTTATTTAGTTTAGTTTTGGTATAACTTTCAAGTCAATTTTAGCCATTTATAAAACCAAAAATCGAATATTTAAATTTTACTAATTACTTGCAAAAATCTTACTCCGGCTATAAAACCAAACAAAATGATCTTTTGAACATTTGTACTGTTAACAATTATTTAAAAAAAAATCATAATAATGTTTATTGTAAATAGAATGGAATCGAAGATATTGTAAAAAGAAAATTTAAATTTGAAGTGTTATCATAATTTTCGTTAAAAGAATTTTTTTACTCGGTTTAGACCTTCAATAAAATGATTGACCCATACCAAAAAAATATATCTTAAAGTAGAAAACTTGCCGATTATTATGCTTTTTTTAGAATTAAAATCTGTTCAGTAGTTTTTGAAAAAAAAATTCCGAAAATTTGTCGATTTCGTCAATTTTTTCATATTAAATTGTAAATATCTCGGAAACGAAGCATTTTTCGAATTTTTGTCAAAGAACAAAAAGTGTTTAATTTGGTTCATTTTAAAATAAAAGCCATTCAGCGAGTAATTTTTTTTACAACTTTTTTGTTTATAACAATTTACTGACCACGCCGAAAAATATGAAAAAAATATGTAAATGATCAGAAAAATACACTTTA